GTACGTTGAACCGTCGGTCCTGTGAAGTAATAATGCAAGGAAAACTGGCACCCATTTTACAACATCTATATCATATAACCCAGTTAGTTTGCAACAGTGCTGGTCAGGTCTTCCTTCCTCTGCAGGGAAGAAACCGCATAAATATTACACGAGAGAATGAAAAAAGAAATAACCCCATTTTTTTCAAATATTTAAATCTTATATTGTACGAGTGTTAGATACTTCGCTCTTCAGACCACAACCCCATGTAGTCCGGTATTTGGAATTTGTGCCAGAATTTTACACTTTTATCAAATAACACAAGCCAAGGAGTTGCTCCACTGGCATGATGCCTCTTGCATACAACGTACAAACACGCTACGTGGATTTTACAAGACTTGCTGGAATGCAAAACATGTGTTTTCCAATAGATGGCTACAAAGAGAAATGGAAATTTAAGTCTGGAAACCAGATACTTTCAAAACATTCTTTGGCATCCTAGTACCCACACGCCCGCCACCAAGAGTAAGTTACAGACCTCTTATTCAGTTAATTCGAGCTTCAGAATAATATGTATGTTATAGATACACAGAAACGTGCAATTTCAGTTTATCATACATGCACAATTAAGGCATCTATCCAGTAAGGTTTCCATAAATACTGCATCTATTTGGCATGTTATGAATATGCGGGTCAAGTGCAAATAACAACATGTTGTTCTGGAAATCCTGGCGCTAGAAAAGGTATCGCTCCTATGATTTAATCAGTAGATTACTAGCTTTTTGTTATTGGATGCAAAAGGTGAAATAAAACCTGGAAGAATTGACGAGAATACATAATGTTGTATAAAGATGTGGCTCGGTAGAGCATAGTAATATTGAAACAAGGTTGATAAACATTGTGTATATGGTGAAATGTGTAATCTCCTAATTGATGCACATGTTGAACAAATTGCGTGACGCATGAGTTGTGTTCAATCGAGTGATATATGTAAAGCATTGTGCCGCCCAGCTGCTGCTTCCATAGGTTTTTTAATATATTACATGCGTTTAGAGACAAACAATTTCTAGAGTAATATAAAAGTATTCAAGTGTTTAAAATACTTTGATGCTTTTTAAAAAAATTTTACAATACCAGTATATAATTTACTTTTTATATTTATATTTTGCAGCGTGGTTTCGTTTCACCAGTTTTATCTACACACTTTTCTTCGTGTATCGTCTTTGTCAAGAGCTTCTTAACTTTACCTCTGTAGCTGCTTTTTATCTGTGTAATCTTGTATTGGTATTTCCGTGTAAAATCTGTTCAGGTGAGGAACCCTTAAGACTTGCTTTGCAGTGGGAGTTGATCAGATAAATCATCTGGTCTACTTAGGTCAGTAAATCACTGCTGTGCCATTAGTATTGACGACACATTCTATTTTGTCTCTCCTGAAACAAGCAATGAAAATAGTTTTGAAAACAATCTTGATAATATAGCTCAAGCAGAAACCCTCCAAATATTATTCTAAAACTTATTATTCTTATCTTCAACACTTTTTAGAATATATTTAAAAAGTTAAATTCACTTTCCAATGTTCTCACTGCCCATCTGGACAGACCTTCATTGAAATAGTCACTAATTGCGTTTTCTCTATTAGAAAAAGATCAATGGTTTTCATAATTTCAAGGTTCGTTGGGCCTATCCTTCTTGTCCATCTTTATGAAAGCCAGTCATTACTTCTTCTACTATTCCTCTAAGTGACAACTCTATACTAAAGGCATGATGGCATTAATTCTATACAGAAATTCTCTTTGGTTACAAGAGAAAGGTGCACAGAATTCACCCGAGGCATGCATATCTGTGAATATTATATGAAAAAGCAATATGTGACCCTTGAATAGGGTTAACTCAGTGGCCATTTTGCCCAATTCACGGTGAATACTAGTTTGTATATGAAGTTGCATCTAAAATCATCAAATCTTACATCATTAACAAGGGGTTCGATACCCACTTCATTGAAAATATGCGTCTCCCATAAAAATGATATCAGTGACACAGCCTTTAAACTTGCTACTTTGTTATGCAATACAAATCCTTTTTGTTTGCATTTGTTTATGATATTTTAGTTTCAAGTTAAAAAAAAAGATTCTATACAGATTGTAGTTTTGTTTTGACACATATCATGAGAACTATACTAGGGCTGGAAAGAAAGAAAATTTATTTGAAAAAAGTATATACCATTTCTTTTAGCTAATTTGTGCTCTAAGATACCTATATTAGTATAGAATGATATTGTAGTTCTCAAGCATTGTGTATTAAAATGTCTTTTGATTTAGCAAAAAGCTTCTGTTGTGTAATTTCCAAAAAATATCGGTATTTCATTAATAATCCCATGGGGTCGTAAACGACCCACCCGGTATGATATAGGGTTAACAAGGAACCGATGGTTAAAGATTTGTGCCTTTTATGGCATCTCACATAAGAGTATAACAAGGAACGATAAATTGTTTCTTTAACACATCCAATGAAGATGGATAAAACATGTAAGTTTACGTTGGAAAACACTCGTTGAACCAATCGTACTACAAAGACGTTCTGCGTTTTAAGCTGACACTTCAAATTTGTACATTTCTAATTTGGAAACTGTTGCTATGGTATCAAAAGCATATCATCCTCATGACCCAGTGGTAACTATGGACAACCCTTCTCTAATTAAGCATCTTTTGCCATATTGCCTCAATTTCTTAATTAATCACTTCATCGAGATTTCTATCCTTTAGCTTTCGTTTTACTTTAAAGTACTTATGTTTTATATTGTTTTTAGTAAGTCTTATGTGTTTTATTTTGTATAATATCACGCCTAGATAGATCTTTTTGTAATATGCGCAATTTTAATTAAAAGTGAGATGTATTGAAATGTGGTATAGAAGAAACCATCCCATTTTATTATTTACCATCATGTTTTTTACATCACTGAACGCCTGGTAATGTGTGCGGGTAAAGGTAAAAACAATTTGAAAAGTTTTACTTGTACGCCTATTTGCATCATCTGTAATGCTAGAAAACATATCTTGTGATAGGTTTCTCTATGTTAGCGGAAATGATGAGCTTTCAGAAATTTAATAAACGGCATTGTTTAGGTTTTGGCATATACTTTTACATGAAGCTTAGTCCTAAATCTTTTAGCAAATCTCTATACCTTCTTACAAATAGTTTTTCACATAGGCGGATTAAGACACGCATTTCTGTAAAGAGCGTGAGAGAGAACGAGAGAGAAAAAGAATGTTTATGTATGCCTTTGTTTGCTGTAACTGTCGGTGTTTATCTGCCGGTTTACCTGGGCGTGTAGGCGTGTGCAATAGGCTTTACAGCGGTAATTATGTGTGGAGTTTCATGTTGTGAAAGATGATATAGATTTCTTGTCTTCCCTGTAAGTCAAGTGTTGTTTTTACTGTTTGCTGAGGAAGCAGCATTGCGCTTTTTTAGATTGAGTAGATTTTCTTAATGGACTGCCACTCTTCCAAACGGAAGCTCACACCTAGCTACACTAACCCAGTAGTTAAGGTGCTCCACTGCCAGACGACTGAAATGACAAACCCCTGCACAACATTTATCGAGTGTTCCATATGAAGTAGACTTTATCCAAATGGCCTTTTGTCTCCCGGTCATTTATCGCAAATGACGCAAATATGCCTCAATCTATCGTAACAATCCATTTATCCGACCGTCTATTGATCACATCCGGCTATGGCTTTCAGTCTCTGTGACCTCGCCTGCTCTGAAAGGTCATCTGCTCCACGCGCTGTTCATCGTCTGCTGTGTTACAACCAAATACCTTCCTATTGAACCAGATGCGGGTAAATATTGGTGCATAAGCAAAATTGATTCTGTGGACAATCAGAACGCAATTTAGCTAAAACGTGTTTAACCTTTCGACATAAAAGTCGTATGACAGTTAAAAGATGTCGATTTATAGGGCATTCCATATACAGACAAAACCAACTTTGAGGTCTACTTGGCTTTTTTCTCACAAACTGCTGTTACGGTTAGTATTCGTTACGAACAATTGAAACCGATTTTGTTCTTAGAGTGACAAATATAATATTTGTAACTCAAAGTTTCATGAACTGTTACTAAATTTTGTATCCCAAAGTAATAGACTACAGAATTACGGCATTTGAAAATTAAATTAAATTTTGAGTAAAAGTTGAGAAAACGTTGTTAAAGATTGAACATTATTTACATTTGAAAAAAATGAAGAATATCCCTAATCTTACAGGAAATGTTTGTATTAGGGTTAATGTATCACACAACAAGTAAGTTTCTGTTGTGTGATCTTGGCTAACTTTTATTTAATTGTGTGTTTGTAGGCTTTCTGATTCAAAATGTGGGTCCATTTTTAAAATACCTACTAGGCTGATTATTTATGTAGACATTATGTGATTGACAGAGGTGCACACATAGCCAAATAGCCAAGTAACATTTTTTTGCAATGCGTTTACTTGCACGCGGGTTACTCTTTAGTTAAAATTCACAACAAAAAGGTGATTTTGTGTCAAAAACATCAGACAATATGAACATCGACGTTGTTAAGTTCGAACTGCATCGTGTCTGATCCTTCAGTTTCTGATTTAAAGATATTATCCAGGTTAAACCACAAAATCCGATTAGCAATGGAGACACTCTCGACAGTGTGAATTGTATAAAGCGGATATATATGCACACACACACACACACAGAGGCACAAAACGTAATATGGACTTTGCGGACGTATGATAGGAACAAAGAAAATTATCACTCACTCTTTCTTTCTTTCTCTCTCTCTCAAAACGTCTTATGTATTTTCTCACAGAAATGACGCTTTTCATGTGGTTTAAGCGTGTGGCATGAGTCTAATATTAAAATGCACACCTTGAGGTTTGGTTGTTATTATATAGCACCAGAGATAGGCACTTCCCAATGCAATGTTTTGGAATGAAGACGACCATTGCATGCAGAGCAAGTCTATTTTTAAGATTAATTTGCAACCATTATTTCAGGGGTGTTGTTGCGATCCACATCGACTTGCAACGCCATGATATCAACCAGTGCACCGCACATGGGGATTTCTTTAGTGGAACTAACCGATGTCAACCGGAAACCACCAAGGTAGGCAAACCAATTAAGTTAAATGATATATGGTGACATAGCATACGTGCTGAAATATTAGGAAATATACAACAAAGTTACAACGTAAATAAACTGACCAAAAGTTCATGTCAAACAATCTAAAATGTTAGAATAGGCCTATGTCACTCCCCCAGTCGTCAACGCGGTTATTTAAGTATGGAAATACAAGCGTAAATGTATCTAATTGAGCAATCACTGTATTGATAGAATATAAAAAAACCACTTCAAGTATTCCCATATTTCGACAACTAAGTATGATACATGGAACTTTGATTTTCAAAGTAACGCTCTGCAATTACACCATCAGAACGCCATCATGTCACATATGGAACTGCTCCTGTATGTTTGTTATCCTCGCGGGAAATCGCGTCCCACACCTATCACATTCACTGCTTCCTCTCATCGGGCTTTGATATCGATGAAGGTGCAGTGTTTTACACGTTTTTCAAGAATGATCATCCAGTCGAACGTGTCAGAGTGGTGATGGATGAACCAGTTCATACTTTTAATTAAAGGTCACCAGAGAAATCGGACAAAAAGGAGTTTGTAAGGAATTCGGCTTCCATCCATCTTGCAACTCTCTTGTGTGTTGTGTAATTTTGTAACAGTTTAGTTCAGTGCGCAGCTGGTATTGAGTTTTCTAAATAGTGACAGTGACTTTAATATGTTGTGTCTTACACATGATATACGGGGTTGAGAACATTGGGTCTAACGCGCCGATACCCATTTAATATGCTGCAAATGGAAAGCAATAAAACTAACCCGTCATACTGTAGAGCAGTTGTCATTTTTCTAAATTTGCTTTTCCTGTAGTGAACCCAGTGCGATTAACTTCTATATCAAACGTGAATTTAACTAATAAAAAAAGTATACCTTACCCCATATTATGCCTGTTTCTTTTAAGTAAATTAATGAATATAAGGCGTATATAGATATCATTCAATCATCAATTCTCAGAGAATCACTACAATACCGATAGCGTTTGCAGCTGGACTAGCTGTATCAATTTAGTAACATAATGTAATATTAATAAACGTCACTGGGTCCTGCCGAACATATGACACATGCCCAGCTTCAAGTCCCCGTGTCGGGACTGTGATATTTCACATGCCACATGCCTAGCACCAAGGCCCCGTAAGAGCAACAAGAACCGCGGTGTTTCACATGACATTTCCAAGTACTCTGGCCCCACACCCGGACCATGAAATTCCACGTGCCTAGCACTTTGGCCCAGTTCCATGATCATGATATTTCACATGCCACATGCCCAGTGCTAAGGGCCCCGTACAAGGACCATGATATTTCAATTGCCACATCCGATGTACTAGGGGCCCGTTCTAGTGTACTTTAATATATATAAGGACAATTTTACACTGTATTTATACGCTTTATAGGTGCACTCTTGCTTGGCATCTCACTCACCTTTTTACCTTAGCTCTTGCATTCATTGGGTGAGGTTACAAGAAAAGTATTTGGTCTGTTTTACCAAAGATAAGAAATGGCTATTGCTTTGGACAGTTTGCTATGTATTTGTGAAATATTGTTGATGTATCCCGGGTCAAAATGGAGTTAATTTTTTTGTCTTTCACCTAATATCTAGTACTTTCATAGTAAGTTTTTGGATGAAAATGCTGGACAGTTTTGTCTTGCAGTATGTCGGGTATATAATGGCGGTTCCTCATTGGCCACACTGTTTCATTTCCAGTGCATTCCTATCCCCGGGCGGGGGTTTAGTGTGGGAGCGTACAAGTGCCAATGTAAGAAGGGATACTACTTCCCCAACATTACTGCCAACGTCTCCTATTTTGACGGGCTGGAAATGGAGAGAGTTTACTTCAGTGACCTTCAAAAAAACAAGAACTCCAGCTTTAGTGAGGAGTTCCAGTGTCTTCCATGCAAGAGAGGTTGTGACCAATGCGTTGACGACAGTCCCTGTCTTGTAGAATATGACTTCCGGTTGATGAGAGGCATTCCGCTGGGAATACAGAGCTTCTGTATGACGATTGTTCTTATAATTGGCATTGTTATTATTCGCATACGAAAGAAGAAGGTGAGAATATTGAGGAAACTCAAGTGTATTATATTTTGGTATATGGAATATGTTCAATCGATGCCAGTTGGTGCCAGGGTATTCGCAAATCCGCTTGTTTCCGACTGAATGTAATTAGTTGTATTTCATTTCGTATCTTTATTTCATAACTGAAATGAATTTTCTTATTTACTCATTTGTTGCTAACTTATTTGTTCATTATTTCATTTATTTGTTTATTCTTGAATTCGCACAGACTAACCGTCTGTATTGTTTCCAGGCCATTAAAGTAAGCATGTGGATCATGTTGGAAATCATCTTGTTTGGAGCCCTACTTATGTACACTTCGGTAAGTGCACCCCTCTTGAATCATTACAAAGGTCACTGTTCATTGCCTTCCTCTTTTATATGGACGACAGACCGAGGATCTTAAAATAAAGATGGACATTATTCTATACAATATTCCCCCGTTCCTCTTCTGAAAATTCGGGAATTATTGTTTCAAGAGCCAGCCATATTATAATTAAGGTATCCCTGCTATACGGCTACCAAGGATGGTTTTAATTTAAAACCACATACTGTACCTTCTAAAGGTACATGTAGCAGTTTCTTGCATATATTGACAGTCCTTCTTTTATTGAGAAAAGCATTCTCATACATATAAGTATATTAAATTCAGTATAGTACTTATGCAGTCCGACTGTAAAATACAAATTGCGTGATTTATGATTGATTGCTTACGTCATTTTCATGTGCGGATGACATCATATACTATATTTCCAGGTGGTTGTTCAATACTTTGAGCCTACGACTCTGACCTGTATATTGGTCCCGTGGTTTAGAGAAGTAGGATTTGCTATAGTATTTGGGGCACTTATTTTGAAAATTTACAGGTACAGAACATTGACCTGCTACATGTATAGATCTAGATGTCCTAAAGGGGCAGAATATCGATAGAAAAATATTTACGAGAATAAAAAGTTAAAGTTATTAACATGTGTTTTGTTCCGTATTGATCAGCTATTACTGTGTATTCTCATTTGACTGACATTGATTTAAAAAAGATGTTCTCGATACTGTCAAATGTGATTGTGACTAGTGGTTGATTTCTTTCTTTTCAAGATAACATCCGACTAATTTCTATTATCGCTTTGTATTTTTAGGTTTCTTGCAGAGTTTCAGACGCGGAGGGCCAGACGAGTCCATATACGAGACAAAGACTTACTTAAGTACCTTTTAGGGCTGGTGATAATTGTATTAGGGTATATGTGCGCGTGGACTGCGGCTAATTTCCAGCATGAGCACGACGGCAGCTCTCTGACGGAAATGGGGATGATTGCTGAAGGAACACAGTTCGTCGTCTGCAAATCGCATTGGTGGGATTATATTATTGAAGTCGGTGAGTTCCTATTGGGATGGGTTACATTAAATTGTTAAGTCACTTGCAGTCGAATAATTATTGACGTCTGTATGGACGGAGCGCTGAAAAGTTGCTGTGTCGCATTAAAACAATATAAGTCACAATATGCAGCAATATGGAAAATTCAATACCCGCAATATAACATACATGTATAATTCTGCCAATCATGGGCAAATGATCAGAATGTTATCGCTCTGCTTATGTCATAAATATGTAATCGCAAGCATTGCTCAGCTGTTCTAATATTGTCACATCCTACTCTAACAAACCTATAAATTGCCATTTATTCCTAGTCCTGATTGAACCTTTATTTCATAAAGAAATATCGCCTGTGTGCCAGGTCAAGAGACACTTACAGAGCAATTTAAGACAGAAATGCAATCAGTATGTCCCGTACTTTGTGAAAAATTCGGTTACGAAATATATCTAATAGAGCTATCCACTCAGTGTTATCGATTTATGAAATTTACAGCAACTTTGCACGTTAATTAAGACAACACTGCAATAAAGAGTCTGCGTTTTCCATATAAAAAGTATATGACAAGCCAATGACATGTTTCCCGGGAAGATTAATGATGTTGGAACACGAATATGGCATTAAACAGATTAAAGGAATGTTCTTGTTATTTATATTATCTCAGTGGAAATAGACAGGGATCGGTTTTGGGATTATTATATAAGGGGCTGGGTTCTAATTATGTTTTTATGTACAGACACAGATGTGTCTGTACATATAGCCGTCATCTGCGTCTGTCGTCGCCGTCGCCGTCGTCGCCGTGCACTTTTACTGATAACACCATAAGTGGAAAACTGTTTTTTCTTTTGGCTTAAAACTTACAGAACTGATGAATATTTATAATATGCAGGTCAAGTTCGAAAATCAGCATGATCGGGTCACTTATAGGGAATTTATGCTGTTTTTTCACTTTTTTCAGCATATATGCAGCACCGATAACACGATAAGTGGAAAACCGTTTTACCTTTTGGCTTGAAATTTACAGAACTGATGAATATTTATAATACTCAGGTCAAGTTCGAAAATCAGCGTGATTGTGTCATTTTTAGTGAATTTAGGCTATTTTTTCTCTTTTTTCAGCATATATACAGCACCGATAACACCATAAATGGAAAACCATTTTACATATTGGCTTGTTTGCATCTTTATTTTCTGTTTTTTGTCTGTACATTTGACAGCTTTGCTGCCTTGTTTAGGATTACTTTTAAGGGGGTGCCATATCATAGGGTGTTTTGTTCATAGCCACTGACGTTGGAGGTTTTCACAGTAAAGTCACGATTGGTGCTTCCCTCTTAATAACGACATATCTACATTTTCATCAAATTATCAGATGTCTTGTAAGACATGTCTTGTAACAAAGGACCATTTATACTTATACTTATACTTATACTTAAAAATTTACCGTCAAATGAATGACTTAGTACAGAAAAAAATCATTCTACACTACCGTATCAAACATCGTACTTCTCAGAAAATATGTAATTCATTTGCACAGTGTGTATGAAATAGATCTTTTGCTTAAGAGCTTGTATCTTAATACATGATACATATGAATATAATTCTGTTCCAGCGGAGTTTCTATTCCTATGTTGTGGAATCTACCTCTGCTACTGTATACGTAGTGCACCATCACTGTTTGCAGAGACCAGATACATCTCCTGGGCCATTTATAACGAAACCGTCATCTCAGCCATACTACATGTAGCCAGGTAACGCAATTAACGGCTATCAATGCCAGTTTCTTATCGCTACACCGATTTGAAAGAAGTGTTTGTAACAAAAAAATACAAGCCAACATAAATCTCTGGTGTACTGTAATTCTTGATAACCTTTAAAAACAGAAATTTGGCCAATGGTTTTGAGCAAATGGTTTTGGGCAAAATCAATGATTGTGTATTTATATATATCGTTTTCTGATAATTCTTGTAAAATAATTGCAAGTAAAATCGTCTTGTACTGCTAAATTTCCTGACTTTGAAACAGACCGATGTTTCTCCTTTGCAGACACTTTTTGTTAACGATCCTGCATCCTGACTATATGTTCCTCATGTACTTCCTCCGCTGCCATCTAACGGTGTCCGTGACTCTGGTGCTGGTCTTCGGGCCAAAGGTATCTGTCATTCTTGGAACGCGTTTTCCTTTTCAAACTATTATTTTGGATTGATAGACATTGTGGTTTTCCTTGCACATTTGAAACAAAGAAAACAGAATTATTTCCAACCATTAATATAATTCTTTGCAATATATCAGAAAATCGGTTTAAAACTCGTCTAAATGACATCACTGACAGATTGATCTAATTAGTCATTGGTTTTTACTTGGGTTACAAAAGTATTATTTACTGATAATTGCCACGGAGAGCAGCTGTGTGTAATAAGGATGTTATTCCTCTTCTTTGCTGTAGCTTTGGTACACTCATCGACCACCTAAGACGGACTTCAGGGGCAGGGCGTTCTCAGACGTCGATGAAATCACCAAGCTCCGAATGGGTCTGACTCTTAACGGAGAGGTGACGGACATGAACATTGCAGAGATGGATCCAGAAGAGATAAAGGTACTAGTGAAGTGGTTGCTGATTTATCTGAAAATTCCCAATATCCAATATGTTTTTCTTTTTGATCTGACAAAAGTTTCGACGATAGGTTCTTAGGCTAATAGTCAGCCAACAGCGCATTGTTCTTTTATTTAAAATTCACGTCAGTTGAGGCCCACTTATCCTAATTGGGTCAATAGACTAATTTAAATGAATCAATGTCTGTTCTTTTGTGTTCTTGTGTTCTTTTGTATCTTTGCTATATTACGTGTTATTTTCAGGGAGAATTAAAGAGACTTTACACCCAGCTGCAAATCTTTAAAACAAAATCTATGCGAAAAGACAATCCTCATATATCGAAGCGCAGAGGCGGAAGAAAGCCGACTCATAGACGTTTTTCTTTGCAACCTTTCGCACACCATCACAAACATTCTCGACATCGTGATCACGAGCACGAGTATGAAATGTCAAGGACACCGGAAGAATCTACGAACAGTGCCGAAGGAATCACGATTATAGTCGAAGACACCACAAACGGTGAACACGACGAAGCACAATCCACGTCTCACCAAGCACAATGTCTTCAAAAGGAATCTTCTCCTGGTCCCACTGTAACATTCAAACCAGGAACCAAGAGGTGTTGAGGATGATTTAAAACATATTGTTTTNCATTTCCTCAGGTTCAATTATTAGGCATGTTAACAGTCTCATTATTTAACTAATAAGATGCCTAAAAGTGTTTGTTTGATATTTCCTGCATCTTTACAACATTGTTAGTTGATTATGTAAAAAACATGGTAAACTTGTTATCATGTATTGTGTAATAAGTGTCAAAAATGGAAATAAACTCATATCATTGCAGTTTGTCGGATTCAATCATCCACTATGTTCAGAATCTCAGAATGGAGGAAATTGGACATTTAACACTGTTCTATTGATACTTTTCCCATCTCATCAATTTTCTTAGTTGGTCATATAAAAATGGCAGTAAAATGTTTATTTTGTTTTATGTTAAAAAAGTGTTAAAAATGGAAATAAACCCATTTCAGAACAGTGCTGTCTTGTTTCCTGTTTTTTGTCTGTACATTTGACAGCTTTGCTGCCTTGTTCTATTTGCAGCTGTACTGCTTCTTGTCTTGTCTTGTATAAATTTCTTCCTTCTCACAGGGATCTTTATTTAGGTCCTCCACCAATTTATCAGCGGGCGAAGAGACAACAGAAATGCCGTTCAGTTCCAAAATCAGAATAGTTGCTTTATTGAATTTCCTTAGATTTTTATTACCGATTACTAGTCAAAATAACATTGTTTTCATGTTTATCTATATTTACTTTTCACTGAGAAACTCTGGAAGATAACTTTCACACACACCTAATGCATGCCAGCACATCTTCAACTTTTGACTTCATTCAAGTATGTGCGAATAGAATACTTCCACAGTCCCTCAGCTTTAAACCCAAATAAACCATATCATATATATGTATGAAGCAATGCTCACAGTTGCATACTAATTACGAGTTGCCGAAAATGACCTAGGATGTTAATATAAACTGAAGAGAGGTTTCTACTAAAAGATGAAGTGACATACTTACAGGCACCGATTTCTAGTAGACCCTGTCAATTTGCTCACTGTATACCAAATATTTGTTTATAAATCAGATATGTACAATAATTATAATTGTGATTTGTACTCCATCTCATCACAGGAGAACCAGAAGACCAATCCACCCCTTGGACCCAGAGATGTGTTGAAAACAAGTCAGAAGATGGAATAAAGCAAGAAAGAACAAGTTGGAGCAACATAAATCACGGCATCCATCTGAAAACAGAACCAGAATCCTCAACATCAGGCACTGCACCCAAATCTGAACCATTAATAGAAGAAAGAAGATCCAAGATAGAAATGATGGTGTGTGAAGATCCATCTGAGATGGAGGAAGAACCTTTGGAGAATAAGGGAACAGAAAATTGTCCTGTTGAGGTGAACATAAAACCCCACTTATACAAAAAAAAAAAAAAAAAAAAATTAAATCTTGAAAATTTGTTTGCTAGAAATATCTCAAATGAATTTTGTTTTATTGATATTCATGAAAATATCTACAAAACATTGAAAAATGATTTAATGCACACATTCATCTGATTAAAACAATTTTCAATTCAGTCTCTTCTCTTTTTTGAACTGCAATCATGTTATAATTTTAACAATAATGACTAACAGATTTCTTAAAATCACACTCCTCCACCTATCTCACCTATCTCTGTTTACATATGTATTTAAGAACTAAGACCACAGATATACATTATAAACAAGTATAAAATGTTAAACTAAAAGCTACCAAGAAACCAAAATATTCTTTAAATATTTAAATTTTAAAATCATTTTTAAAAGATGATTAGAGTCATTAAAGGATACATTTTCTTAGTAAGTAATTATTTTTCAAAATTCATTTAAAGTGTACAAGATTCTTCCTAGGCACATTTTTTAAGATGATTTACATTATTTTGTTATAAGAGGTTAATCATTAAAAACATATATATAATTATTAATGCACCTTAATATCATTCGAATTAATATTTTTTATGTTTGCCTTCTAGCGTACCATTGCCGATACAATATTCCATACCATATCAACCCGAATGTCTTTCATGTGGAGGGAGCTGGCAGTTGAACTGGGACTGGATGAGGATGAAATAACAACCATAGCATCTCAGCATCCAGACAGTGAGGAGCAACAGTGTGTTGAATGTCTTGAGCACTTCCTCAACAGGAACTTCTCCAAACCATGTGGTCAACTCACAGCAAGACTGGTGTCTGCTGTGTATGCTGTGCAACAGCCTGCATTTGCTGGTAATACAATTTTGCTTGTTTTTTTTACTTTTTAATAAATAAGATTTTGGCTATACCAATGCTTCAAGCCTTCTTATAAAAGAGAAAAGTTCCACATGTTGAATTAATGTAAAGGAAATTAAATAGATGCACTTGGTTTTTAGTCTTCCACATCTCTTCCTTTTGCCCTACTTCAAATTAAAAACATTACAAACAAGAACAGAATAAAACTGCTGCAAAACAATATACGACTGCAATTCAGAAAACATATTTCCTGAACAAATCAACCCAACAACTTCCATTAACAGTGCACCATTGCTGTAAATACCTACTCCATCTTCTTTCAGAAACCCTCTGTGACATTATGCAAATGGAAGGGCTACCCATCTGTCATGACCTCATAGTGAGATGCCAAGTTGATTCTAATAAGGAACCATTTGATGCCGTTGATTATGATCCCAAAAAAGATGATGATGGGGATGATGACATGGATGGAGAGCACAACTGCAGCTTGCCGAAAGAAGATAAAGAGCAAAGTTCTAGCCTGAAAGGTAAAGGGGGCAATGCACTTGATTTAGGTCTTAGTAGTCACTGTACCTCAGTCAACTCCAAAGACACATATGATGCTGATTCAATAATTGAAGAACAGGATGGAGAAACGTCCATTGAAGATTCTGAGGCATATCCTCACAGTGATATTGAAACAGCCAGTTTAACAGCAGACAGACTGCAGTCATTGCTCATGGCAGGCACTATCAACTATACAAGTATAGAAGAGATCTACCACATAGTTGAGACATCACCTGAAAAATTGGCCAACCTTAGCATGGCTCATCAAGAAAAGCTTGCAACTGAACTTTTATATTTAGGGTGTAGGGGAGAGGAGAATGCCAAGCAGTGCAAACACCTCAAGGAAAAGTTTATGAAGCATGCATATTCAAGAAAACCTAGGGTAAAAATGCTGACACGCGGAATGTTAAGAGATAGACTGATAAAAATATTTGAAAACACTACTGTACAAAACCCTTCTTTGTTCACTAAAAACTGGGCAATTTTATCTCCCACTACAAGACCGAAAGATTGGGCACCTATTTCTAAAGCCTTCCTCAGCATCTATTGTGATTTTTCTGGTCACAAGTTGCTGGAAAGAGTTTTATGCGGAAGCAACCAGCTCCAAAAATCTGTAGCAGAACAATTATGGAAGGATGAAACATTTGGTAACAATATAGAGACAATCACTAGATTTCTATACAACATCATAGGAAATTGTAAAGAAGGTACTGATATTCAGAAAATCCTTGTTGACCACAGTGGACAACAACCTGATACATTAAGGGAATGTATCAGAATGTTGTCCAAAAAAAGAGCTGTCTCGGAGTTTGTGCTTCAATTGCTATACAAGCTCCACATATCAAAAACTAAACAACAATTGTTTCTGTCTGCAGAAGAGAGGACACTACATTTGGATGTGCTGTCACAACATGTAAAAAAGTATGGACTATGTTGGCATGCTAGTGAAGGAAATGCAAAACTTCTGATGGAATACTTTTTCACCAACCGTGAATTTACAGAAGCAGAGCATACAGCATGTATGGAGATTTTAGCCAAAGATAAGTACACATCAGAACATCTACTACAACAGTTCTACAATATTCATATAACCAGAACACTGTCAGCAGCAGGGAAGACATCATTCCTGGAAGTGTTGTCACAACATGCAGAACAACATGGGAGATGGTGGAGCTGGTCTTTAGATAAGCAATGTCAAGCCAGAAATGCTGAAATGTTATTACAACATTTCTTTGTCAACACAAACATAACAGAAGCAGAGCATACAACATGCATGGATATTTTGTCCAAGGATGAGGACACATCAGGTCATCTACTACAACAGTTCTACAATATTCACATAACCAGACCCCTGACAGCAGCAGAGAGGACATTTTTCCTTGAAGTGTTATCACAACATGCAGTGCAACATGGAAAATGCAGGGGTAAAGCTAAAGGAAATGCTGAGATGTTATTACAGTATCTCTTTGTCTACACTGACACTACAGAGGGTGAGCAAACACTGTGTATGGAAATTTTAGACAAGGATGAATACACATCAGACCATCTACTTTATCAAATCTATGCAATTCACACCACCAGACCACTGTCAGCAGCAGAGAGGACATTTTTCACGAATATTCTGTCATATCATGCAGAAGAGCATGAGATCTGTTTTACTGCCATCAAAGAAAATACTGATATATTGCTTAATTACTTATTTGCAAGCACAGACATAAAAGAAGCAGAAGATACACTGTGTATGGAGATTTTAGCAAAGGTCAAGTACACATCAATACAACTACTTAAAAAGTTGTACAAGATTCACAAAACAAGAACACTGTCAGCAGCAGAGAGGACTTTCTTCCTTGAAGTGCTGTCACACTTTGTAGTACGGCATGGAGGCTGCAGGGATACATGTGAAGCAAATGCTGAGATGTTATTGCAGTGTTTCTTTACCGCCACAGACTCCAAAGAAGCAGAACACACAGTGTGTATGGAGATTTTAGCTAAGGATGAAAACATATCAAAAAATCTACTACAACAGTTCTACAAGATTCACAAAACTAGAACACTGTCAGCAGCAGAGAGGACATTATTCCTGGAAGTGTTGTCGCAACATGCAGTACAACATTGGACTTTTTGGAGTGCAGTTAAAGGAAATGCTGAGATGTTATTACAGTATTTCTTTGCCCACACTGACACTACAGAGGCAGAGCATACACTGTGTATGAAGATTTTAGCCAAGGATGGCCACATATCAGAAAGCATGCTTGAACAGCTCTA